GTGGCATCAGCTACGAGCAGTTTCAGAAGCTCCTGGCGGAGTTGGGCCTGGACAAAGCGAAAGGCGGGATCATCACATGTGCTGCAGAGCTGGCCTATGAAATTCCATTAAATTCCCAAGGATTTGGGGCGTCCAAATGTTTTGCAGCCAAACTTCTCGGAGAGTACTGTGCGTGAGGAGACTGACCCTCGTTTGCAGCAATGCCTGCATGTTTTTTTGCCTGTTATGCCGGGCAATCAACAAACTCTGGATGGAAGAGGAGGGCAACACTTGAGAACGGCAGTTGTTGTTTTCCCCGATGCGGTAGGCACTTTTTGATGAGTTCGCGCTTGGCAAACCCCCAAGACTCCCAAGACCAGACTTGAAGCGATTGTGGTTGTGGAGCCATAGATGCTAAGCAGTATGCTAAGCAACTTGTCTCATGTTGCAGCCGTGTGCACATATTCCTCAAAGCCCCGATAGATCTAGTGAATCTAGTGCAGCGCCTGTACGTACCACATGCTGCCATGCTACGGGCATTGACAAATTCATCTAAGAACTGGGCAAAGCGCGTGTGTTCATCTGAAATTACCGAGCTAAAGGAACCTGGCACCAGAAACAGAATTCCTGGTTCAGGCCCATTGCCGCCTCCCTTCAAGAAGGAGTCGCAGAGGATTGGGCCGCTTTGAATTCAATCATTTTCCAAGGGAACGCGCGCGTGCGCCAGGGGCATAGTAAAAGACAAACGCGATGTCCCCATATGATTTTTCGCGTTTGCCTACAGAGGAAGATCGAGGACTTGTCCTGAGATAAGCATGTTTGAGCAGATATATGTTTCCTTGTGTTTTTGGCTTTTGGCTTCTGTGGTGTTTGTGGCTTTTGGCTTTGGATGGCTTTTGTGATTCTGGCTTTCGGTGGCTGTTTGCTTTTGTAGCTTCTGTCGCTTTGCCGACTTTGGACTTTTGGTGGCTTTCTGCATGTAATTGCATATAATTATATAATATATAATATATATACATATGAGTATGAGTAACAAAGACTGTTTGAAAGATACGTCCTCAAAAGTGATAAATCCCTGAAAACTTTTGTGGCTTATGGCTCAGATGGCCACATCATTATGCATTATACCTCCTGAGCTAATCACAATCTAGCTGACATGGTCACATCCATCGCTTGCTATAGATGACCTCTCATGCACTGTGTTTCACTGTTTGGGGTCTCTTGCCGGGATAACTGTTCACTAAATGTTGCCGGAAGCGCATCAAAAGAAATTGCCTTAGTACAAATTAATACCAATCAATAAGCTGTGCAAATAATATGTCTATTAGTAAAATTGTTGAAGACTTTGGCTATTTACTGTCTACCGTCTACCGACTGTTAATATGAATATGTACACACATGACCTGCAAAAACCCATAGTGGTGGATGCTAAGGACCACCAGGCTTGTGGCTTGTGCCATTGGATCTCTTCCACCTCACCCAGATTTCAACATGGCTTCGTTCCGAAACATTCATGTATATATCCTGCAAAACCCCGCCACAGTGGTATCTTATATCTATATATCTACCTATCTATCATAAAAGACAATAATTATCAGAGGCTCTACATATACAGACCTCTTGGAAAGAGGAAAGAATCCACGATAGACCTTTTGAATTATCAGAGTTATCAGAGAATCTACATACAAATTACGATATTATGGAGGCAGAGGAAAACATATATATAGATCATACAGAGGCAGAGGCAAATCTACAAACAATACAAATTAAAGCCAGAACAAAACATAGGAAACCATGAAAGCCCATTGAAACAAAGAAAACAAAGAACAATTTCAAACCAATTGGAGAAGAAACCAACGTTAAAACAACAAATAGACACAAAACACTATACCACATTAAATCCGGGCCTTTTGTCCTGCCATGATCAGTTTGTGATGCCTGGAAAGCTGGATGCACACTTTTCCCACAGCGAGAGCTACTGGATTCTTACCTCAAAACGCTTTGGAGCTTGGATGTTGGTGCTGCTGCAGGGTGCAGCTGCACTGCAGGGTGCCGGTGCTGGATGTCTATGGCAGTGTGCGTTTGGGAGCCTGGGTGCTGGTGCCGCCGCAGAGTGCAGCTGCAGGGGGCTGCCCGCAGATACATTTGCTGCTACCTGTATGAAAATCAACACTTGAAACAATCACCGGTTTCAAAGATCTAAAAATAGTGACACTGCGCAATGAAATGCATGTACTTCCTGTGTGTGTGACACAGTGCAAAACATATATATATATATGTGTGTGTCCTGTGCGGCAAGTTGTGAAACCACAGTGGGTCGTATTAGATGATTTATTGCACAGCCGGACGGACTTGTTCCCAAAACTAAAGCTTTCCATTTGGATTTCCTGGTAGTTTGTATTGTTGCTGCATCATGCTGGGCATGCCAGAAGCTGCATTAGGTCATGGAGGATGTGTTGGCAAATCTTACCAACAAAGAACCTTGTAATGAGACTGTAACTGCTTGCATGCCCTCGCGTGCAACGAAATGCGTTTGAAGCGTCAGAGTAGTTTGTTCGCTTCGGGCTTGATGTGCAGGATGCACAACACAATGTCCCGCGCTCACCTGAGCACTAATTCAGAGTCATCAGACAATGTAGTATTACGGGTGCTGCTGGTGTTTTTGCTGTTGTTGTTTTTTTCTTTTTGTTCTTGTACTTGGTGGGTTGTGCATGTTCTTGTTTCTTTTCTTGTGCCGGCGCCCGTTCTTTGGGATATGTAATTGTTTAAATATGGAAACGGTTCTGATGATGTGTTTTTCTTTTTCCAGGGGTCCCCCATATTGTTATGGTCCTGGTTCTTGTGTTTGTTCCTGTGTTTTTTGCTCGTGCAGGTATGTGTTCTAGTCCTTGCATTCGTGTTTGTTTTTGTGTTTGCTCCTGGGGTTTGCTTTTGTGGTTTTGTGTTAGCAGCTGTTTGCTTTTGTTTGCTTGTCCTGTTTCTTGCATTTATATAATTCTTGTTTTTGTGCTAGCTCTTGCACGTGTGTGTTTGTTCTTGCTCTTATTGCTCTTGTGTGTGTGTGTGTTCTTGCGCTACCTGCGCTGCTTGTGCATGTTCTTGTGTTGCTTGCGTCGGTTCTTATGTTTGTTTTTTCTTGTTATTTTGCTAGTTGTTTGCAATTGTCCTTATGCTTCCTCTTCTGCTTGTTGTTCTTATGTATTTGTGCTCTTATGTTTGTGTTTGTTCTTGTGCTAGCTGTTTGTTTTTGTTTCCATTTTTGTGTTTGCTCTTTTGTTTGTACTTTGTCTTGTGTTTGTTCTTGGGTTTGTTCGTGATTCTTATGCTCGTGTTCGTGTGTTTGTTTTTTTCTGCTATAGGTCTTGCGCTTGTGTTTGTCCTTGGGTCTTGTCCTTGGTCAATGAGGTGAGGTTTCATCTCACTAGTGAACAGTATTCATTGCTTCGTCGGCACGGGTGCTGTAGTTGACCTGCGTGCTGAAACAAACCGTGAGCGAAGGCTTGTGGTTCGAAGTTCCTATCTCTCAATCTTGTTGTTCTCGGCGGCTTAAAAGGTCTCAACTGAACATATCTCAACATCAGGAACAAAGGGCATCGCTACTAGGAGCAAGGACGCTACTAGTAACAAAGGGCATCGCTACTAGGAACACATTTCCTGATATTTCCTCCACGTGCACTCCGAGGCCAGGCACCTGCCTGGACCTGGAAATGGTGCGGGAACTCAGTCGGTGGGCCATGACATGTCAATTTCTCCGGCTTACGCCCTGGAAGATTAACATGGAACCCAAAAACCTCTGGGTTGTATGGGTTGTAGAGGAAAATCGTCTTCCAGTCTGGTCCATTTTCAGGTTCCCTGTGGGCCTCTTCCGGTGTGTAGATGTGCCGGACAGTGTTGCGCTCACTGAATGATGAATGGTTGGATGTTCTGAGAGGAAACGGCCTGTAGATGTACCTGTTGGGTACACGGTCAAAGGCACCCCCACCGTGCAGGACCGTCCGGGCGCGTTGCCCAATCAGCAGTGACTAGTTTGGCGTTCCAAGCACCAAACACGAATGATGGCACCAGGGGCATTTGTGTGATTTGCATGCTTTCCTCCTTCAGACGGTATGAAACGAAATATTATAGGTCATGAGCTGCCTCTTGTGGGCCCGGAAGATTCTGCGCAGAGCTAGATTTGCTTCTGAAAAGTCACGACCACATCACCCAGTGCAGCGGCTTCTTCCTCGTGCGGAAGCCGCTGAAGGTCCACATCCGCTTGCTTCAGCTGGAAGAGCGCGCTGCTCGAGAGGCTGCAGCCAAAGAATGGGCAGGGAGCCTCGCAAGTCCGCGGAACAGGTGACTGGACAGCCCTCGAAATGGTCCCCTGGTGCTTGGTCGGGGCCCAAGATGTTGAACAGTGTCCACATAAAACGAGGATGTGAGGCAATGACCTCCGCATACGCCAGCCCAAAAATGGGCAAAGGTGAAGGACGTGAAATCAGCCAGCAAGCCCAAAGAATCCTTCAGAATGAATATCACAAGATAGAATATTGCATGCATAATATTGCATATTTCGTCCAAGCAGACAATCGCATGTATCATATAATTGTACAAATTGTATGCAACACATTTATGAGTATGAACGCATACAACATAACATGCACACATTGGCGCAATGAACTGGTATTTGGGGCTTTGAATATTTTTTGGGGCGGGGTAAGTCGAAAACAATCAAGACTTTGGCCCATGACTCAAAAACCCAGGTCAATGGCGGTTGCCTTTTTTTGAGTAGGGTAATTATGTTTGGGGTCATGTTGCGATTGGGCTGGGTCCAACCAGCTCGGCCAACTAGAAGAAGACTGAGATAGCGTTCAAGCAAAGGTCAGACATCAGCCCCAAAACCCATCAATGGTTGCGTGCAAGCCTTTCGTTCAAACCTGTTTTGACCCATTGGGAATCATTGCGTGCCAGGGATTCGATTCTGCTTCCTGCTTCCAGATGATTCGGCATCATCGGCATCCTATGCGGGCATTGGCATCCGCAGCGTCTTTTATTTTTGGGATCCGCCTTGGGACAACCGCTTGCCACGGCCGCCATGGAGGTCACCACGCTCCACGGTTTGTCACCTGGATTTCTTAGGCTGACTCGGTGGACTTTTTCAGGGAAGCGACATGAAGCCACCATCCTCGGGCGACGGAAACCTGTGAAATGGATTGAACTGGACCCTGGCTCATTCGCCTTGGTAACTGTAAAAAGTCTCCAAAGCTGGTGGGTTGGTCACGAAATTTCAATTTCTTGCCCTGTTGTGAAAGTAAAGATGATTTGCTTTGGGCCTTAATATTGACGGGTGTTCGACTTCTGCGCCGTTCGACTAGCAACTAGCGGCTAGCTTTCTCTAACTGCCAACCGCACAGATGTGCCACCTACTGATATCCACTCAATGCATATGTATAGACATGCAAGCACGATGAGTTTGGTGGAGCATCCTACACTACACAAGAACGAGCACCGACCGGGAGAAGAAGTTGAGAGAAAATGCACAGATGTTGCAATCTCAAGTCCAGTGGTCTTTGTTACGTGGTGGCCTGGTTCTTGCTTTGCTTTGAGGAGGGGTTCCTTGAGGCGAACTCAAGCAGCTTTTTGATCCTTTTTGCTGGTGAATCCTTGGTAGATGAGTTAGGCCAGCCATGGCCAGCCGTCCCAAAATTCGCAAGTGTGAGCAGTCACACCGAGTCTTGGATCCTATTCACATAGCGTTTCCACAGTGCTAACAAACATAGTAACATAATGTAACATAGCCCTTTTGTTGTCCTTGGCTTGACGTCTCTACAATCCTAAACTCTTAAACTCTTGTGAATGTCAATGGTGTTTTCTGAGGTTGGAAGCCAGCGCTGCCAGGTGCCCAAAGAAGCTGTGCTTGGTCTACGAAGATCATCCCGGGCTCAGCTATGAGGAGCCCTGAGACTGTGTTTTCGCAAGTCGATCTCGGATGGCGGATTGGCCTCAGTTGATTCCAGTGCTGGAGATGTCACCAACTGAGTTGATGGCAAGCTAAACCACTGAGTTTGTAGCAAAACCGAGTCCAGTTACTACTTGCTTAGTAGGGGTAGCTTTTACACCCGTTGGAGATGAGTGGATGTAACATCTGTCACCATCCGAATCCGCACCTGCTAGTTGCTAGCAGTTCCACACACACGCCACGTGACCGACCTTGAAAGAACTGTATTGAATATTGGAACCCTGCAATCTTTGAGGGTCTGTTTTGAATTGTTTGAGTGTCTTGTGGGCAGAGGGTGGAGTGAAACAAACACGACGTTTGGTGAGATTCGTGACATTCGAAACATCTCAGCTGTGGGTCCAGTGCTACAGGTGCCGAGGAAGTTTGGAGTTTTGGGAGCGCTCGGCTTGTCGATATGTGGCACCAGGATACACCGGTGGACCTACCAGATCCTGGAAGGTCGTTCGTGGTCCTACCAGGGCTCCAGGTCTTCACCCCCCAAAACATGGTCAAACATTGATGGGGGGCCCCATGCAACGTGGACTCGAACCCCACCGGCGAGTCACACATTTTCATGAACGTTTCGACATCTCCGCAGGAGGTCTGGCGAGCTGTGACCCAATGCGCGCGACACTTGGTCAACCTGGAGGCACTTGGTCATCCATGCCGGTGAGTGACAGGGGTCAACATTGAACATAGACTGAGGCACTCCCTGACTCCTTTCAAGAAGACTTGGTGGATCTTGTGTCATGTGTTTGAACTGGAGATTGGAGATTCTGCTTTGCTGGCAGCTGCTTCACCAGCATCACAAATACGGATTAGCTTGCCGGAGTGGTCGGACATGTTCGAAACACAGGGAGTGAAGCTCTAGGTTGGCTTTAGACTGTACAGTCTTTTGAGCAACTGGCAGGCTACAAACATGTGTGCATTGGAAGAATAAGTGTTGGTTGCACCCTGCACGGCACAGACTTCAGGAGCACCCGCCCAGAGAAGGTGAATCCCGCAAGTGAGAGGTCTCCGCACTGCAACTCGCATGCGGCTCTTCGGAGTCGTAAACCGCACGCCTGACATGGAAACTGAACGAAACTGGACCGTTCAAGACGTGGCCCATGCGCAGGACTTGCACAGTACTTTCGCAAATTACATGAAGGGTGCCGGGTGCCCCTTCCGGATGCACAGATTGATTTGCCAGATGGTAACTGGTTGAATGTTGATAATCAGTCACCTAGTGAAAATCGCCGCACTCTTCGCATGGCCTGGTCCACCTTTGTTCTTGATCAGGTCCAACATCGTAAGGGTGTTGCTCTCCAGCCGTTTGATGCATCCCAGCAGAAAGATGCAGAAAGTAATCGCACATGTTCAGATAACACTCGAACGTATGATAGTGAATTGAACTGGGGGTGCGGTTTTGAGTCTTTCGACTCGACTCAATCGATCAACTGCCCACCCACGCTCACCCGTCTATATAGAATATTATAGAATGCTCCAATGTCCAGCTTGTTCATCAAAAACATCCTTTCAGCAGTCCCATTGCTTCAAGACTATCCAAACTTGCTGTGGTTTCCAAGCACTACTCACTATATACTGCAGCAGTCTGTTTTTTTCCTCAAACAACATCGCTTTTCAGGGCCTTTTTTCAAACCAAAGTATCACACACTGCGATCAACAAGACCTACCTGATGGGCCTTTTCATTTTCCGACAGCAGAACAGCAGAACTGCCTTCCTGGCTGCCGGGCGGGCTGCCGAACGTCCAACGTCGTAACATGTCGTAACCCTCTAAAATCCATCACTGGCTCAAATGTTGCTTTGCACATGGTCGAAGCCATCATGAATAAGAATCTAGATGCCAAGGTAGATCAAAAAGCCCATGCTGACCAAATTCATGTTCTCCAGCAGGTGTGGAATCCATTATTTCACCAGATCTTTAAAGTAAAAATCACACCGATCTCTGCAGGAGGCACAAGATATTGATGATTTATACATGATTTTGGGAATGATCTGGCTGATTCAACAGCAAAACAAGTTAATTAACAAAATGGACATGTCCATGCTGCTTGAAGCATCTCGTGAAATTCTAAGTCATACTGAGCGACAGATTGACGCTCTACACAAAATTTATACACACTTAGCAGACCTTGATGTGCTCCATTCTAAGCTTAAGCTTGAAAAAGACAAGGAAGCAGCTGAGTCCCACCAGTTTAGCACATTGGATGCATATTCCTATTTTAATAAGACAGCCCTCAGCCAATGGAATGTAGGAACACCTTTTTGGACCTTTGAAACCCATTTGCCAGAGGTTGTTGCACAAGCTTTCGGTGGCCTATCGTGTATGGCATATGGACTGCGCTTTTTTCGGTGGCGTTCTCCAGACCAGTCCCCGGTTCCGGGTGATTTTGGCATTTGCTGGAGCTTGCAATGAGCTATGCAATTCATACTGGTCGCTTTTTTCCTAATTTGGATCTATGCTAAGGATAGAAAATTACCAACACCTCATGATGTTCATTTTCCAGAAGCTACAATAAAACCATGGTGAAAGAAAAGTCTTTGGAATCAAGCCGGCATCCACGATAATTAGTTAGAAAATACACTCCAATGTGCCTTGTATCCCCGCTTGATTCGCCTTGGATATCATCGCAGTTTGGTGGAGGGCATCTCGGCCCGCCCATATTTGTCATTTGCCCAGCAACTCATTGAACATCTCACCTCGTATGCCTTTTTGGAGCTGGGTTATCCTTTGAATGTTCGGGCCGTTCCACAAATACAAGCAACGATCTCGCATTGTGCCCCACCATATCTAAATATTCCGTTCGATAAAGGCCGCAGAATCTTCGTCAACGCATTTATATAAGTTTAAGAATGAATTCGCCAAAAGGAATCTCTTGAACAATTGACTATTCCAAATTAGGTGCTAGATTGTCTCGGATGTGATAATTAACCAAACTCTGTCTCACTGTGTCTTAAACCGGTGTGGGTGGTGGTTGCACGTTTTGTGGATACATTGTTGACTCGCACATAGCAACCCTCTGGCATCCCGCGATGTGGCAGGGTTTTTGAGGGGCGAACGATCGATCGTGAGTTGGTGTGGACCGTTCAAGACGATTTGACCAACCCGTGGTTTTCGGGGTTGTGAGCCCATCGTCAGTTCTCGCCCGGCGGCCATCTGGGGTGATGACGTGCGGGTGACTGACCGCTACAGGACCAGGTGCTTGCTTTGGTGGCTGACCGCTCGTTGGGCCTGGTCATCAGCTTGTTGGGTGTGCTACGCGCCGGGAAGGCCCTCTGATCCGGGGGGCAGGCGTAACTTACCTCGGGCCCAAACGGTGTATGGCGATCGAAGACCCAGCGTAGCGTTCTCGTTCTCCTGGTGTATGGCATGGGGACGGGGCGCTTTAGAGGTCATGTGGCAAAAAGAGAATGGGATTGTACATTGTGGATGAGATTGGAGGAGTATCGTTGTGTAGTTGTGTGGGTGGGTTTGAGAGCTTGGTGTTTGAGATGAGCATGGCAAACATGAAGAAAGTGATCTTGTCCTCCAAATGTTCACTGAGTCCATACTCTGTTCCATTAAGTAAGTTTTCAGTGAAACTCGCATAGCCATGGTTGATTGCTCACTAAGGCGCAGATTTGCCTACATGAGAACGGTCATACGGCAGTTATGTTTGTTTTCCAGCAGTTATCGAGCAACCGTAATGAAGGGTTGGTTTGGTGATGCTCGGTTGCACACACTATCATATCATGATATATCATGCTCTCTTCATGGCTCAAGCTTTTGTGGGGGTACTCGCCACCTAAAGGACCCTATACCTACATTCTACATTCTATTCATTCCTATTGAACCAAGATTACAATGAAACCTATTATTGGATAGTATTGGCTTTTTGTTTGGTGCAGCCAGGGAGTTGAACAGTAGTAGGCCTCACGGTCGCCACTCCGCTTCGCCCATTGGCCAATTCCACAGTGGCTTGGAGTATTGTCTTTGGATCGTTTCATGAGGCCTACACCCCCATCGAGCCTGATTTCCCTGTGGCCCGCGCCAGTGCCATGCTGGAAACTGCGGACATCAGGCCGAGCTAGAGGATGAGAGCAGGGTGAACACTCGGAAAGTCCAACAAGATCCAAACAGCCTTTGTAGTCATGCCATGTCATTCCCGTCAGAGCGAGAGAGAGAGAGAGAGAGGGAGGGAGGGAGGGAGGGAGGGAGAGAGAGACCGAGCAACACAAAAAGAGAGAGAGAGAGAGAGAGTGGGGCTTGTTGGATGACGTGCAGCGTAGCCACCACGAGATGTGAAGGGACCAGGGTCATTCGTGGCCAGTGGATCAGCGCGGCTACTGTACATGAGATGAAAAGGCTAAAGGGCTTAAGCTCGGGCCGCCATGAGCAGTACTGAAAAGACTTGTTTTTTGTCGTTTGTGAGTTGTTGAAGGGTCGCACGAAAGCAAGCGGTCGTGGACCCCCACCGGCGAGGCATGTGCTGGTGCCCAAGGAGCAGTTTCCACAGACTCTCGGAGCAATCAAGGTATCAGATCCCTTAAGGCAGCGGAATGACATGGATGTGTTGTTTGTTTATGTTTGTTTACTATGTCAGTGGCTCCAGATACCACCATGTCACATGTCATGTTGTTAAATTCTATCACAACGCACGACATGTCGGGTGACGTGTGGCATCGCACGATTCCACAATCTAAAGCACAAACACGGTAAAGCACTTCCTCGCAGAGGTCTTGAAATGGGTTTGAAGGACGGTGAGTGTCAGATGAAGGACGGTAAGTAAGCTAGGGTCCAAGCACCCAGGCCGATTCTGGCATCCTCCACGGGTTTTCATGGGGCGAAGACACCGACTCATGAGAATACACAAGAGCAGGACTTGCTGAACATATATAGGTGTGTATTCATGTGTATTCTGAAGTCATCGAAAGGGGATGGCACCACGTCCATTGGTAAAAGACCTATGGTCGTCCAAGGGGCCATTTGGCACTTCGAATCCAATCAGAAGCCACCCAACACAAACCCCTTGCATGTGGGCTTGAAGATGCTGCCCGACTCGCTCGACCCGCTGCCTGAAGACGCGGGGACCGACTTGTAGGGCGGGAAAGAGAGGGCCAAAGAGGGCATTGGAACACAGGTTGAAGGACCTTACGATCAAACTGAGTGTTTTTGGACTATCCCAGACTGGTACCCCAGAATGGTTCTATAAGGTCACTTAACCTCTCTTGGTACACCAGTGGTGTTTTTTTCTTGCCAAGTGGAGAGGTTGGCCAGTTGGTGACCAGGCTGTTAGATCAATGATTTTGTGGGCCTTTGGAGCGAAGGCGAGTGCGAGTAGCTTCAGGCCAGGCCAATTTCGTTGGAATCTTCGGACCCCAACACCACCAACCGGGGACTAACAAATATATACATATATATATATATTTATATTTATATCACATATATATATATATATTATATGTATTATTCTATGGCGGTATTGACATGTATTGACCACAGAATGTCCATTCACTAAGGCCACTGCTCCACGATCTCTCTGTCAAGCCTTTGTTGGTCGACCTTGGCGGCGCGGTGTGCCTCGCCAGCGGCGAGCCGTTGGACGCGGACCGCGGCCGCCTGCCAGAGGTCCCGGACCACAGCACGGCATATGCACCTTGGGCTCAGTGGTCAGCTGGGTTTGGGTGGTCAGCTGACACGAGAGGTTAAGTGACCCGAACTAGAACCATTCTGGGGTACCAGCCTGGGATAGCGTATAAGGTCCTTCAACCTTTGTTGGCAGCTGGATGATATAGTAATTATATTGTATAATTCGTGATGATTCTGGGACTTTGATGGCGACCTGTGTCCCAGCCTTGCGATGTGGACTCCTGAACACGACAGGTCATCGAAGGGTCCACTGGGCTGCTTGGGTATGGAGCTGGGCTATAGTACCCAGACACTCCATGTATGGCATATTTACCTACATTGGGGTGGTTTGGGGGGTCAATGTAGGCATATATGGCATACTACATGGAGTGTTTGGGGTAGGATCTCTATCCTACTTGTCCGTCCGCTGTGAAAAAAGTGATCCATTCGCTAGGAAAAGTTGTTTCTCTCTCCTGGTTCCTTTGGATTTTGCCCATCCTGTGGAGGGTCGTAAGGGAACCCTCACCCTCACTCAACCGTTGGTCACGAAATCTTGACCGTAGAATCCGCTTCATCATGCTTCATCCTTGAAGCGCCCAGGTGTTGTTCACCTCTGGCTCCACTGGAAAGCCTAAAGGCTGCATGGTGCCACACCGGGGCAGCGCCTTGTATGCTCGTGCCGTGGTGGAGCACTGCGCACTGGATGAAGAGATGACGTTCTTGCTGAAGACGCCGTGTGTTTTTGACGTCTCCGTGCAGGACGGAAGAACTGATGAAGCATGAGGTGAATGAAGAGGTTTCACTTCAAAGAGGGACTCGTATTTCCTTGTCACCAGACACCAAGGAAGTGATTGCATATTTCTACATTATAAGCTATTTTCGAACACAAGGTTTACTGTAGTCTTTTAAGCAGGTATCATTATCATCCATTGACTTCGTGAGCGGCCGATCTTCCACCGCTCTTGTGGACATGAAGATCCTCCACCGATCCTGCACCATTGTTGCAGGACCTGTTCACTGCATTTTGCGCTGGTGGCACGTTGGTCATCGCGAAGCCAGGCACGGGCGCGGCGCGAAACGGCCACTCAATATGGGGCATGTGAGCCACTCATGGGTGGCGTCATTGACCCTGGATCTTCCAAAAAATTATGGTAGTTGTGGTTATTGACCCGGGTTTTCCGCGCAAACGGCTGCAAATCAGCGCGCAAATTAGCGCAAAACGCACGCAAAACACCAGCAAACGACCACACAAATCCGCAAGATAATGCAAAACTTAACAAACAAAACGCCAAAACAACCATAACACGAAAACGACTATAGAGTTTTTTGGTAGTTGGAAGGTCCACGTGGTTCGAATCATGTTAATGATAGGCAGGTTCGAACGTCGGGACGGGGGGCGATCCTCGGCGGCCGGCGGGCGACCGCTCGCTCCAAGTCCGGCCTAAGTGTGGACGAATCATCCGGCCGGACTTGGACACGAGCCTTTTGTCCGGTCTTGTGACGGTCTTGGACCATGGTGCAAGGTGATGCTCTTGTCCCCCCAAGATCCTCTTGGGCCCGAGCAATCCAGGTCCGAGCACTATCCTGACCGTATGCCCAAGGGTCCCGACCGAGGTCCGGACCGAGGTCCGGGGGATGGACTCGGACCTCGGACGCCAGACGGCAGGCGCCCACAAGGATGCTGGAGCAATGGCAGAGCTCATCAGCACCAAGGCCGGTTCTCCAAGAGATCGGCTACTCGCGGCCATAGTGAAGAGATTTGGGCTGGCGAACAGTCCGGAAACCCGCAGAATGCCCAGGGTTTGGAAATGCACATTCAAAGACCAGAAGACATTCCAAATGCGCATTCCAGTGGCAGTTACACCTTAATATGGTTGATCGGTCATTTGGGAAGGAAGGAAGGAAGGAAGGTGACCTGTCTTCGATGCCGTGCGCTGCGGAGGCGGTGAACTGCGCTTGCTTCGTGCCCACGCTGCTGGTGGAGTTCACGAACTACTTGGAACGCAGCCCGCAAGAGGCTCTTGAGGCGATGTGAGGAATCAAGACATCACATGTGGTACTGTATGTCAGACAGAAGTGGTAAAGATGTGGATGAAGAACTGACTTCCCCTACCTCCAGTGGGATCATTAGCCCTACAGGATGAAGTAGAAGCTTTTGGGCACCCAAAAGCGGCTTGGTGAACTACATCATCGCGCGGATCAACGAATGGGTTAAACAAGGTCAGGGATCGCATTGACTCGACCCACAGCCGTTCACAGACTGACTCATCGATCTTTTGTATCAATCGACTAGTGGTCAACCTCCCCAAACGAATCGTGGGAATTCCTCGCACCTCCAAATCGATTCCTTTCCGCCACCGGATCATGTGCGTTCCTTTGAAGATATACACTCCCGAAAAATTCACATTGACATGCACCGGGTCGAATGGTGCCCTGAAAGATCGTTTTCCTCTACAAACCACTGGTTTTCAGGGTCCGTGTTAGTCTTCAGCAGGGCATTCTTTAGGGATGCTCACCTCCATCAACTGATGACATACCCTCCGCCTATTTGGGTAGGTTGCAAAGTGCTTGAAGCGTGTGCTGACCATTGGGGAAGCTTTGATGACGGCGACCTGCAAGCAAATGTCTCCTGGAGATAGTCAGTCAGATGCAGAAAAGCATAAATCGTTGTCTCACCAGTTCCAGTCGTTTATGGAAATGCAGATCAAAGCTTTGACGCTACATCGACTGCCACAGGAGTGATTCAAGGGGCCCACCAAGGAGAAGCATAGATTAGCGCGGGGTTGTGGGCTCGTGGCTGCGCGGGAGCACTGAGTTCACAATTCGAGTTAAACTGTTTCTGTGTTTGATTCCATAACGGCATTTAGGAGAGGAACGCAAGGATCTACCAATCAAGGCATCCGAGAGTTGGGAGAGTAAGCTGGATGTTAAGACTCAAGTTAAGACTGTTCAATCGGAAGAGACCTCTTTTGAACCCATAGAAAGTTAGCCCATTAAGAAAAGAAAGTCATTGCCCGGACAACTTGCTGAAGCCATTATATATATATATATAGATCAAAATTTGAAGGGCGGCATGCGGCATATCTTTCAAAGAAGGCGTGGATGCATTTCTTGCGGGCTTTATGGTTCGTCAAGAAGAAAGTGATAATATAACACGTGTCTTCTTCGCATGAGGAAGACAAAGAGGAGCATGTGCAATGGTCACGCCTGCGCTTCAAAGCGGTAGGTCTGTTGGAGAGGTGCGAACTGGGAAGATGGAAGCAAGGAGCGAAGGACCGCAAAGTGCTCCGTGCTCGAATTAGAGCTTCGAACTTGCCAGCACTGAACACCATCGAGCAATGACTTGTATCAGGGTTGCATCCAAGCCGGCAGGAATGGAAACGCCTATCGCTGCTACAAAAGGAAACTTTAAGGATGTGCCATTGTGTTGCGAGTGCTCTCGGGAAGATGCCAGTATGTGGGAGCATTGTAGTCGTATTCCCCCAAAGTTGTGAGAACCTGGCAGGTGTTTGGGCACAAGCTTCCTGTTTTGCCTTAAATGCCCCCCAGGAGAACCAATTTGTGTTACTCGTTTTCCTTTAACGACCCGCCCAAAACAGATATCATAGAAGAATCATGAACGATGTGATCACCTTCGCTCGTCCACCACCTTTCTCCATCTTTGGTATGGCGAGTTTAGTTAGCGCCGCGCCCTTTTGCCAGGCCAGCTTGCTGAAACCAATTGGCGCAGATAGTATTCGCAATCATTGGTAGCAACAGGACCACTACAGCACAGGAAGCCGCCAAGTCAATAGAGTTAGAAGCGGCACCCTATCACGTTCCAAGTGCAGTTCAGCAACTGGATAGTCCCGATTTCTGACAACAAGTCCAACATGATGATCTCCGAACATACACTCATGCACAGTTTGCATGTTTTTGCCAGCGGGCTGAGAATAGCAGTGTTTTCTGTAAATAGCAGTGTTTTCTCATGTTTCCTCCGTGGCAACATCTTATTGCATGGCATATGTTTACGTTGCCTTTGTGCATGTTTTTTGCTGAAATTAGGTTGTGTTTCGGAATTTTACGCTACTTCTTCGGGAATGTCCATGTTGTGTTTCTATGTCTATTTGTTTATGCTTCTCTCATCGAGACTCTCATCATGCGTGTTAGATGCATCTTTGAACTTTGGGAGTGGGGTGGGTGGGTGGGGGGTTAATGACGTACGGCCCCCGATGTGCAACGTCTTGGGCTTTTTTTACATCATGCGACTCAATGCACCTTCGTCGCGGTGTTTTCTTGACTATGTTAAGAACATATATCATGGTTTGCTCCTGTCGCTGGTTCAAGATTTTTCCCTTTTGGCAGGCAGCATGGCTGCCCTAAGTGGTTGCGGTGCTGTCTGCCGAGTGTACATCTTGTTACTTTGTTTTCCGGCTTCCAAGATGTTGAGTGTTTCTGCAGCAGTGCCGAAACGCAGGTTTTGAGATGTTTTTGAACCCACCGGTTGAAGGTTGATGACCAAATAACTCAAAAACGCAGGCGCAGTTGTCAGCCCGGCGGGATTTTTTTGTTCCTAAGGGCTGCGGTATTCCTTCCGGAGCCATCGATCTGGCTTTTGCACCGGACTTGCTCACATGTGGTCATTTCGATCCGCAATAAAAATTGAACACAGAGGCGGGGGACGATCAACGGTCAACGTCAATGCAGCACAACCTCCGGAAATGTGTTGGTGTCTTCCTTCCAGGCTGCCTGATCAAAGGGTTTGCACAACCGAGGTTCAGCTTCATCCCAGATTTGCAGATCCACAACCTTTACGGCCCCACGGAGGCTTCAGTGGGCGTCAGCAACTTGCCGCAGTCGTTGAACCCAGGTTGCACCCCTCCACCGGCTAAAGCACGAAGCTTCCAAACAGAAAGCTTGCCCCGACAAATGAAGAACGGCCGTGAACATTGATGTTAAGAACCGTCATTCAGCCTGATGGTTTAAACATGTTAAAAACTCATTAAAACACACACACACACACCAAACAACAACATTATAGTAACTAAGGGGTCAGACATGTTTTCAATGTTTCCTTCACCGAAACCCTGCGAGTTGTTCCAGCATGCGTTCAAGTTCACTTCCGTGTGGTCAACAGCCAACAATGCTAGCGAACCTGGCATTCTTCCCTCAAAATCTATGGTTTCTGCCAAGCCTCCAGCAATCTCAAGCCACCTAAGATGACTCCCACGTTATTTCTGGCTAATGGGGGGGGTGGGGGCCAAAGATCCAAAGTGGGAAGACCTCACCAAGACGAACGGTGGACTGCCACTGTGAACGAGGCCACTTTGCAGTTACGAAAGCCACAGCGGAGCGCCTACCGACAGTGGTGCCCATTGGTCGGCCATTTGACTACGTCACCTTTTGCGTGTGCGACCCCAGCCGCTACCGCTTCTGGGACAGAAAGAGCAAGACCCGAAGTTGGAGTTGTTGAAAGTGTGAAGCGCTCAAGAAAAAACTTCCACCACTAGACTTAAGAATGCTTCAGACATGTACGAACCTTTGGAAGAATTCTTGCACTCCAGAAGTTTGGGTCACCCAAAATGACCCTTTTGCTTGGCCCACGCCAGTGTCATCCTCTTCACATGTAGACAATGTAGACTCTTGATGACCACCCAAAAAGCCAACGACCAGAGAATGTACAGCCCTGGATATGAGAACATCTCGACATCTCATTCATCCACCGTTAAAAATGCGGCGCCCAGGGCGGCCCCGCATGACACGCCGCGCATGACAGGCGCAATTCTTCGATCAAACCCGAGGCGATGAGAAGATCACCGAGGCCAAGCTGATCCCAGCGCCTGCGGGGCAAATCGGCGAGCTCTTCATCGGAGGGGCCTCCCGACAGCGGTGGTTGGTGCGACGGGTGGGGTTGCACAGCCTAAGAAAGGTTGGCTGGGAGGCTCCACTAGGCTGGGTGGATCCAGGTCGATCCAGAGGTGGTTGAAGATTGATTCAGTTTACATCAATGGGCAACACGCCACACCGCCACACGTGTGCAACAACTAAGATGCAAAGTGAAGTAACACAAGATATGTTTGTCTTCAAAATAGTTTACTCATGCTGGACATGGGCTGACCCTTGAAGGATGTTGCTGCTCTTCAACCGGTGAATTTTTGTTCGCCAATCGGCAAAGTTGGGTTGCCACCAGTTGGATACCAGGTTGCGACGTCCGCAAGAAACCCAACCAAGACCTGGAACCCTATCTCACACATGACATGACACATGGAAAGTGATTTCCTTCCTTCAGTCGGATTCGATGCTGCAGTCGGAGGGAGAGCTGCTGCTGTTGGGTCGCCCCTGAGGAAAAACAAACACAAGCAGTCTTTCGTGCAACTCTTTGGGTGAGAGCGGGTTCCAAGCAAGACTTAGATGAGGATGATGAGGTTCGTCCCTTCGTTCTTAAGGTATCCAAAGGTATCCAAAGGTGCTAGTGTTGCTGCTGATCTTCTGCTGCTGGCTGCCTGCTGCCTGCTGGTTGCTGCTGCTTGTTGTTGCTTCTTGTTGCTGCTGGTCTGCTGGTCTGCTGCTGGTTTGGTGGTTTGCTGAGTGGTTTGCTGCTGCTGCTGCTGCTGCTGCTGCTGCTGCTGCTCTACTGGTGGTTTCGAGACTGCTGCTTCTCACCCGTCCTTGCTTACCAACCTTACCCCCCTGTCTCAAGTCAGGGGTGTCTTTTCATTCAAAGGTGCTATTGATATTGTTGGGCCCCACCTGGCCACGAATTGTTAGTCTAGTCTAGGGAGGCCAGATAGTGACAGGAATTGGCAGTTGCTTCCCCAACAGACATGGATCAAAACGCTTCAGTCTTTCTCCAGAGTTGTGTGAATGAAGCTACGTTTCTGGCAGACCTATCGACTGAGGATTGCTTGGCCACGGGCTACATGAAGAATATGGAGAAGACTGAGGTGACAGGGGTGGATCAACAGCAGGTCTTCGACACCGGATCCGTCTATATTATATAAATCTGATTGTAGCACACGAAACCAAAAGCGCCGGAGACGAAATGCGAGTTGACTCGCCGCAGAGGCTCCCAAAATGTGTGAAACAAAGGGTGACGAAATTGAGCTCCAAATTCCTGGCACTTCGCTTGGTTGGACTGCCAATCTTCACTTGGGGACGGCCTTCCAGTCTTTGAGATACCTCCTGGATAAGTCCCGGATGATCTGGATGCGTGCGTGCCTGTGTGTCATGGATCGAGACTAAGATTCTTCCGATTTGGCCATTTAAAGATGCCATAGAGTAAGCTGTCACAAAGCATATAATGATTGAATGAAACTCCCATGTACTCTTAGCAATCCGCAACATTCAGCAACCACAAGAGCAAAAACATAGGAGGCCTCACCTTCCATGCACACTGTCAACAGAAGATGCATCCCCCATTCATCCCCCTTCTTCGGAGCGTGAAGAAAGCTCCAAAGCCAGTGGCCTTTTGGCCGAACACAGATGTGCCAGGTGTTTGTGATCAGCGTTCAGCGCCGATCGTCACCAGGCTGCCTTCTTCCACTTCCCAGCCATTTGCGGCCGCCCGCCCTTGGCGGCTTCGCCCTACAGCCTCTACAAGACAGGCAAGATTGGATCAAATTGGTGTACGTTCTTTTTGTTCACTGCTTTCCACGTGTTGAGAAGGATGAGGTGATCTTAAGTTTAAGGCTATGTATGTGTTCAACGGCAAGAAATTCGGGAAGTATTGCTTCCCATGATCAATACCCAACGCAGTGTTCTCACTTTTGGTCAAGGACACCAGGAATTGCACCAGAAAAAAAATGGAAGCAGTGTTGGGTCACTGCTGCAATTTATGCAACTGCCAGTTCCCCATTCCAGCTCAGTTTTTAGTCAGAATCAACCATTCAATTGAATGTATAACATGATTGATATCATGATTGCTCCTCTCATCACTCTTATTCCTTTCCCTGGAACCCGCGGGGTCGGAGAGGAATGACCGCCAAGGTGACTTGTGCAAGGTGGATGCTGATGGCATCTTTCACTACATGGGCCGCAACGATTTTCAGGCGACCGACCTGAGCGATCTGAAACGGTTAAAATAAGAGTGGCAGGTGCCAAGAAACATGACTCAGAAATACTCAAAGCGGGTTCAGGGAATTTCAGGGATGGCCTGGAATGGCTGGTGGCCTGGAATGGTATGCACCCTCGGAAGTACCCTCGGACCATGCTTCAAAACTGCACCTTAACGGGTGTTCACCCCAAAGTAAGGGTTTTTTCTACACGGTCTCTATGGTCCTGTGTCCCGATGATAGTCATCGCTCGTCCAGATGACCCAGATGACACTTGAGTGTGAGGCACAAAGGTGACGCGGATTCGGCAGGGATTTGCACCAGGACGAGTCGGACGGCACATCCACTGTAAAAATCCCTCCGACTCACCAACACGGAAAGCTTGGATGACGATGTTCCTTTACTAACCGGGTGGTTTCCAGTTCCACGTGAGTGAGAGACAGTAACTCATGTGCCACAGCGTCCTAGCGTCCTAAATATCGACTCGAGTCATAGCGAGGACTTGGGGGAAGGGTGGGACACAAGTCAAAGCTAGTGGACCCTGGCGACTCGAGTCATAGCGTCCAAGAGAGCAAGTCAAGTCAAGTCATAGCTCTCTTCTTGAGCTACCCTGGCGAGGTCAAGATCTCTGGAGTTCGCATCGAGTGCGAAGAGGTCGCGGCAGTACTGAAGGAACATCCGGTCGTCGCGGACGCCTTGGTCACCGTTCCATGGCTTAGTGGAAGAGGTATTGCGGTTGGGGGTGTCCTATTGCCGGTAACAGTCGGTGAACAAGTCTCATGTTTTTGGAAGAAGGCCTTCACCAAGCATTATCATCCAGTGTTGTGGGGAATAGGATGCACACACCCATTGTGGTACGTAAATGTAGGTACAATGACCTGCACCCCCTAGCCAACCGCTGTTTGGAGCTTAAACTGGTATATCGCAAAGCTGTTGGGCCGGGTATGTCACATGTTCTGTAGGTGTTGCGTATTATATACAGCTCGTCCACATTGAGATGGCAGTCAGAGCAGGATTGGTTGCACCACGTTGCACCAACGCCATGTCCAGAAATCCGGCTGTCAGATTGGTAGAGGGAGGAAACTCCAGTCAGCCATGAAATTTGGAGGTTCTCAAGTTGTTTGGGTTGAAGATGGCTGTGGAAGCACCATGGCATGACATGGTCCTTAGCTTTCTCGTTGTGTTGGACATCTCGTCATCCCGATCTTTGGCAGGTGCGCATCCATCGAAGGGTGGTGGCGCATCCATCCATCTGAAAGTAAGAAGATAGTAGTGGTGAGTCCGGTGGGTGTTGGTTAGTCTTTGTCAGAAACTTGTAACTTGTATAGCCATGGGCCATGTATGGCAATTTATTTTGTTTTAAGTAGTTCGATCCTCGGTTGCTGCAGGCTGAAGTCCGGAACCATGTCCTCAGAATGAAACGGTACTGATACGGTACTGGGACAAATCATGACAAAGGAGTTGTTATACTCCCTGAAACTAACATGGAAGTGGAGTTCACCCCCTGTTTGTAGAGGAAAATAGTCTTCCAAGGGACCATGCCATCCACTTTTCATGTTAGTTCCGGGGAGTGTAATCAGTGTAATCCATAGTGTAATCCATTTTATATGCTTCCATCCTGCCGACCTTCGCTTCCGAGTCGAGCGCTTACTTGGACGCATGGGCTCGTGGTTTCGCGGAGCCCGACTTGCGACTGAGGCTTTCGAAGGTCCATACGGAAAGGCTTTGGCTGCCTATGTGGTGACTCCCCCGGCCATCGACTGGTCCTCCTCCAAAGACCCTGCCTCCAACGATGAGATTTTGAACGTGAACAGTTGGGGGGCAGTCTATGATGAGATGTACAAGGACAGATGCATAAGGTATACCAGAGGACATTTCTTACCAAGTTGTGATAAACTCCGATTTTTCAACATGTTTGCACACAGCCCTGCTGGAGTTCAACGTTTGGAGCAGAAGCTTTTAATCATAAGCGTGCGCGTGGTGGAACTACTACCTCTATATTGGATTATGTGTGATTAGTTTTTAGCGTTGCCTCGCCTAGCCGCCTGCCCATTCGGTGCCGCGAGAAACCATTCACGCGGCGTTTTCAATCCGTTGACGCGGTTGGTTCCGGAACGCGTTGGACGTGCGCCGAAATGGCCCCCCGGACCTGAACAATTGCACCCGGAGAGGAGACCGAGAACAGTGTCTCAAGCCTGGACCCCACCTTGAATTGGAGCGGCTACACGGCAGCTGGGTTTTAAAGCCACGAAGCGGGGGCGGTGTTCGCATGTGTTCGTGTGGAGATCCAGACATGAGAAAGGGGTAGGCAGTTGCTGATTCATTGGGACATGACTTGCGAGGTTGCGGAGTAGAGCTGGTGAAGACTTCGGGTGGATCAAGCTTGCTCGGGAGGTTGAGGCAATCCAGTGCCCACAAAAGCATCCATGCCCATGATTGAACTGATGTTGGAACCCATTGGCATTGAAGACTGCATCTGCCAGCATTTGCCGGCTGAGGATACCTATTCTCGGAGGCCTCACATCGAGCCCGTGATCAAGGAGTGGGTAGAATGGAGCTGCCAACAGGCTGGGTTTGGATGGAGCCAACGAGCAAGAGCATCAAGCTCTCTAGCAGGGCAGCAGACCATTTCATGACGGTTCTTTCGTGACGCCACGCAAAAGAGTGTGCATTTTTGGGTCAATGGTGAGGTTGAATTGCCCTTGCTGTTTCGGTGAGTTTGTCTATTTCGCCGAATTGGTAGCCTTCTTGGTGACGCACGCGCGTCTTCCAGCGATTCGGATGCTTCGCGCTGGAGGTGTCATCTCAGGCACCGCTCTTGAAAGAAAGCCAGGCCGGAGTAGGAAGGTGGAACTTTGTCACGCGGGAAGAGGCTCTTAGATCCTTTAGAACTGGCTTAGAATGAATCAAATATGAACTACTACTCAATGTTTGTGAAAATAGAAATCCCCTTCGAGGATTGGCATACACGGCATAGACATCAACTAAGCTATCAAGTTCAGAGGAACACATTGCTTTTGTATGTAATCCTTATATAAAACCTAAAACAGAAAGCACGGCTCCCCCCCATCACCCTTTACAAAAAAGAACAGCTGACAACTCCGGTTGATTTGTGGGAAATTGGGGTACCTAACATGTATTAACATGTTTTGAAATATCAAACAATTGGGAGTCCCTAACGCAGGGGAACCTCAAAGATGCAAACCTGGGAAGTTATTGGAAGAGCTTCAACACCGAAACGTTGCCAGGACGATTCATACCCCCCTTTGTGACCACCCTCTCTGAGGGTAGCCAAGATGACTCAGGAAGGGACAGATAAGAAGACAGAAGACGTGCGTTCCCAAACATCCCCCAACTAACAATAGCGTCAATAGCAACCCTCAAATTTAAGTAGTAGAAGGTAGACGGGGTAGTTGAAAACCAAGGAGAAACTGTTTGAGTCTATCAGGGTCTCCGACATGAGCTTCTTTTAATTGGGGAAAAGGGGTTTTAGAGTGGTATCCAGGATTATATGATTGTGATTAATTGTGTATGTTCTGCACTATTGCAAAACCAAGAATTCCCATCTCCAAGACTGCTTTATGCAAAACCCCCAGCTATATAGTCCTCTCCAGTCTTCACGAAGTTTGAGCAAGAGTTGCTGAGTTGTACTCACCCGTGCCAACGAGCAATAGAAATTGACCCCGCTGGCCGAATGGAAGATTGCCCAAGATCCGCCGACACACCGCTCACGGACGATGTTGAATGCTGTTGAAGGTGCAGCTCTCAACCTACGCCAGGCAGCCGGTCGGACCTGTACCATCACTGAGTTGGGCTGCGGCAATGGCATGCTCCTTTTCCGGCTTGCGCCATTGCTCGGAAGCACAGGCGGGGCCGTTTCCAACGGCTTGTGTGAGTCCTACCTGTTTGGGATTCGCCAGGCTCGTGGTAACTGCAAGTCCTACTCATTTTTTTTTCAGGGTTTCCTATGTTTCCTCGCCTTCAACAGCTCCACATATATTACGTCACTATTCATACATATAGACATGTAATTACGATACATGTATATGTTGTTTATGTATGTATGTCTGTTTATATATATATATATACATACATAATATCTTTGTTCAAGTTGTCATGCTTGCATCCCAAAGAAAACGCAGAGTTACAGGTGAGCACGCTGCAATCCATGAGGCAACTGGTTTTCTGGAGTATAGGGATCAGAACGCTAGGAGTGAACCAACGGAATCCCTGTTCCATGAGTATTCAGGAAACAGGTCCACCTGGTTGCAAAAGCAATATTCGTGACTCCGACAGAAACATAGAGAAACAAACCGTTCTCAAATTACTCCACTAGTTGATTCGGGTTGTCGCGAACCCATGAACATGGAATCCTAGCCAACCTACATCCAGTGTCCATTCCATCCATTCCAAACACCACATGGCTTCAGGGCGCTATGTGGGCACCGATATCTCCACACGTGCGTTGGAGACGGTGAATGAGCTGAAGAGGACCTTGCCACAGTACCAGGCCCGGCCCGTGGTGTTGGACCGTCCAAGAGGTAAAGCCTGCTCAGAACTGGAGACGCCAGAGGGCTGAGTGAGGCGGATTTTGAGCTGGAAGAAGAGGTAATGCCACGATGTGCAGTGAGGGCTAACATCCAGACAGAGACACACCACAGCAACATGCCATCAAGACAAAGACCATGGAGTGTAATGGAGTTGATGCTTTCCGTTGCCCTTTCCACGCACCATGTGACAAGTTGCCTTGCTTGCATTCCCATGACGCCCCGGACCCCAAGCGAAGTTCCCCTTCAGGACTTGCGCGTTGACACGCAAGCGTTGGCAGCCCATGAGATTTTGGAAGTTTGCAAGCCCAAGGCGGGAAGGATATTTAAAAAGGCATAATACCTACCGCATTGAGTCCCATGATACTGATACTGAAGGTCATTGGGGTTTGCGACTGAGCTTGCTGAGCTTGCGACTGTTAGTGTTTTCAGTCTTTGAGGCCACTGAGGTCACTGGATTGTTCCAGCTTTGGTGGCAAGCACTGGCAATATAATTGTTGAACATTCCACAATGGCTGGAGGGGATCCACGTCAGAAGCAAGTTCCAAGCTTTTGACCTCCCCAATTCCCAACACTCGAGTCCACCAACCTTCAGCCAGGTCTCAGCCAGCTCAACCCGTTAGAACACTTGTGCAGAGTTCTCATCCCCAGGAGAACGATTTGGTGCTTTGCAATGGCGTGACGATGTACTTCCCCAGCGCCAACTACCTCCTGAAGACCATGCAGCTTTCGGCTGAGGCCACCCGTGACGGTGGAGTGGTGATCTTCGGAGACATCCAAAGCAGGTGCGCCCGAAACCCGTGCACGGACCTGGTGGATGGGAAGTGGGCAGATGTGGGGGGTGTATGGCAGATGTGGGGGGTGTTGAGATCGGATGGTGGTGACACAGCTCAAGAATCCAGGGGATCAGCCATCGACCCTTGCCAAGACCCTGGACGACCTATAGAATACGAACTTTCAAGGCAAAGTTCAAAAGATAAAAACACCTCCGCCATAGAATTTATAGAACCTTCTACCATCTGCCAGTTGGCACGTCTTCGCCGTTTTTCTTCCAAATAAGGCCACGGGCAGTTGGCTCCAACCCACGTGCCTTCGGCACCGCGGGCGGACGCTTTCGGTCCGGAGGCGCCACGTGCTGCCCTTCCGGTGTCACGTGGAGACCTACCAGGCTTTGCGGCGTCAGGATGCGACCGCCTTGGCGGTGCTCCATGCAGCCAAGCAGTCGGTCGCGCAGGAGGAGAGGGGTTCGAGCGGAAGGACGGGTGGTTGCCACGGGGCGGTGACAGGAACCCAATGAACGGTTTGAGAAGTCTTGGTCAAATAAACTTTTAATTGATCACCCTCCGGAATCTGAGGGACGGTTCCTGTATTTTTACATCTGTTGCATCACCAACTTGACGAGGTTTTACTTTTCGTGTTATCATAGCATGTCCCACTACTATATCACAACCACAAGAAGGGCAACACAGTATTGAGAGAACTTGACACATCCAAGCAGAAGTCGTTGGCCGCTGTCCCATCCTGGTCGCATGAATCCAGGAGCTCTCGTACTTCGACGACTCTCTCTTTCATCAGCTGGATCGTAGTGGGCGGAAGCTCTTCGGAAACCGGCTAGCCAAGGCGCCGGTAGCATGGGGACCTACCAGCGGTATCCAGCGGTTAGAGCAGAGATGAGTCGATGAGACAATTGATTATAGCAGCAGTTGGCCCCGTGAAGCTCGGAGGATGTGGCTGATTTAATGGTGACTCATGAACTGGGTTGAGATGAGTCAGCTTCTTTGCTCAAAGGCAAGATGCATCAAGATACGGTTTTCATTGTTTTCCTATTGAATTTCTTTCTTCTCTTCGGGTCTGAAGATCCCCTTGAGGAAATCAGATGCCCAAGGCCCCAAGTGTTCCAACGACATTCCGCAGTTCCCTTCAGAGACGGACTCCGTCACTGCTGTCAGCACATGAGTCACTGTCATGGTGAGAACTCCCAATTGTTCCATGACACCTTGGTGTTCACTCTCAGCAGTGATACCAACTGTTCCATGACACACCTTGGGATCCTTGAACCGTCGCATGGGGATTTGGGGATCACTCTCAGCAGTGCCCTTCAGGTGGAGCTGCGCGTGAAGCGCGGCTGGTGGCACTCAGAGTTCAACCGCTTCAGGCGCCGCGCAGCCAGCAGCTCCGAGCGTGGGGAAGCGGGAACCACGATCCAGTGACTGTTCTTCATGTGGGTGTGCATGGTAAGAGGGGACCCCCTGGTCCAATGGGTTTGGGGTCTCAAATGTTCATATACGATCATATGCATCTCCTCGTGTCATTATCATGTGTGCACTATTTGGGGCACTTAGCGACAAGACCTCACGGTTGATTTGCCCCAAGGACAAGGAAAAGGTAATCTAGATTCGATGAGTCGTCTTTCTCTCGAATGACTGTGGTGTGCAATCCCGAGAAGATTTCAGGCTGCAAGGAACTCACATCACTTAAGCCTTGGACTGTGCCCCGGAATGAGTGAGAACAAATATAGAACGAGCCTTGACGAACTCCCCTTTGCTCGTTCGGGAGCGTTTGGAGATGACCCAGGAGCGTTTGCTTTCCGAAAGATTGATGGACCGAGCTCGCTGGGTCTTTTGCTTCCGGCAGGTACGATGTGTGGCTGGTCTTGGATGATGGCCAGCAGGCGGCGAAGCCGAGTCCGAAACTGCAGCAGGTGGACTACAAGGCCCTTTGTCACCAGGATGCATCAGACGGTACACGCAGCCGCGCTCCTAAGATATGAACATGTATGAACAGATGCGGCAGTCCCATAACCTGACTTCCACGATCCGAGGTAAAGAACTTCAGCTCCAAGAGCGTGGCGATGGTGCTACCGTGTCCTGGAATCGACTGGGCACAACTCCGGACTGGAGGAGTCATGTAGGCTCTGGATTCTCACTCTTCGTTTCCATATCAAGAGGTTTTACAAATCCAATTGGGTGGTTTTACTGATCAAGAGTCTACTAATTACATGTTCTTGCTGTTCTTGCTGTGCACCGAGGATTTGGTGGATGCACGCCTGGTCGAGAAGCTCGAGGGCTGGGTGTGCGGCCGGTTGTCTGGAGCCAGCCCTGAGGCTGTGGGAGGGAGGAGAGGAGAGGTGGTGCACTCCCTCGGAGCTGTGGGAGGATGGGAGAGGATAGGGAAGAAAAGAAACCCCCTGCAGAGAGGCGAATTGTGCACCTTTGGCATTCGGACGGCATTGGGAATGGTTTCTCTATATAGATTAGTTTCGGCTGGTTCCTCCTGTAGTGAGGGTCCACGCTTGTTTGCGCGATTCTTCTGGTTTCCAGTTCCTCATGTGCGCAAGAGCTTCAATGGCTGCTGGTGCCAGGGGGATTCAGAACATTTCACAGATTTTCACAACGGGGAACCGTCCGCCCCGTGTTCGCAGGTGGATGGCCTGGTGGTGACCTTGCCCAACGCCCGCACCTACCCGGCCACGCGGCTCCTGGAGTGGCTCGAGACGGCGGCGCAGAGCAACTTGGAGCTCCGCAGCTTGCCCAGCCTTTTGCACCCGGCCGATGCCAGCTGGGGAAGTGTGGAGGAGCGGAGCCTGACTCTTCTTGTGGCACATGAGGTCGGTGTATCACATGGCGCATCTGAAAAAAGGGGTGGGCAGCTGTTGTGGGTCCATCAGACCAGAGCAAAGGTCCGTGGACCAGATTCACCCAGACTGCTGACTGCTAAAGGAGAGTGCCAAGTATGGTGTGGAGCCCGAGATGCTGTTCAACATGAAGCTTCCAGATGGTTGGGTGCAACGCGTCATTTGGGACGAGGACAGCGTCAGTCGACGGAGCGAGTCGAAGGGGTGGTTTTGCATTTTGAGGCCTGCATCCATGCGATCCCATGCAGAAGGGCAGTCATGTTTCTGTAAATGTTTGAGCATGTTTAATATACAGTAGGCCTATAGAATAACTGTTCCAGGGGGTACGTCGATGGGTGGAATAGTTTTTCTGGAATAATTTTCTTGGATTCATTTCTTGACAGGGGGGTTCATAGGGGGTGTCAACGATGTACCAGAATCATTTTTACATACCAAATGATTCCTGAGGTGGTGATTGCTGCGTTTATCAATGTCATGTTTGAATGCCAAGAAAAGGAGAGAAGAAGAGAGAAGATGCATTTGCTTTTATTTGCTTTTAAGTTTGATATCAGTTTGCAGTTTGTCAAGGGGGTGCATAGACTAGTCTGCAGATTTCAGGAAATTATTCTGACCGTGGATGACGCTCAGAATCATTATCAGCGACCCACCTCACACACACCCAGAATCATTAAAAGTGATTCCTGGGGGGTTGACGTGGGCCCCCTTTAATGCAACCCTATTGTTTAATTATGTTTAATTATGTATGTGTAGGATCTCTCACCTAACTTGTAAAGGGCTAACGCAAAATTCCTGAATTCTAAAGCAGCATCATAGCATGCGTACCTGTCAAGTGTGTTCTTGTTATTGTTCCTATCTGTGTAGTCATCCAAAGCTCTCGCCTTTCTTGAAAAGGACGTGGAGTTCCTCTCTCTCATATCTTTCAACAGTAAAGCCAGACTTATGGAGACTTGCGGTTCAATTCTTGATGGCCTTCAGATGTTCCAGGGATGTGTGACACGATAGGGATTTCAGGTGGCAATCCCAATCGAATGATTATGAATCCGTTTGGTTCCACCAACTGAACTATGGCAGTTGGAGCCATTGTGTATGGCCGAGAAAAGAACATATCGCCCCAGGGGCGCTTTTTCCCCAACAAAATTCAACAGCCAAACATCAAGACCGCCCTGCTTGCCATCCTTGTTTGGTTTGGAGGACCCTGGCTTCATTCGATTCGTGCTCCTGCGTGAGCACATGGCATCATCTCCATGGCTGAGTGCAGCCACTGACGCGGAAGAAGAAGAACTTCCCGAGGATGAAGGGACGGCAGTGGGGCTTCGTTTGGCCCTCTCCACTATGGGACCGTAGAAGGGAAAGAGGCTAAACGCAGAGTGTCCCTCCGCACTGAGTATCGTTGAAGTACTCAATCATTGGCTTGGCTTCAGCATGTCACGAGGCATGCAACACCAGCTGGATGATACGATCTCAGACAAGTTTGCTATTATTTTTTAGTTATAGTATATTTATACTTGATTTGAGTTGTTTCAGCACCAAGTCCGCCGAACCTGGCAAGGACTTGTCCTGCTTCAAGAACCAGCCCGACGCTTGGTCATGAGTTTGGCTTGAACAGATCCTATGGGCCATTCACCTTTTGTAATTACTTAGTGTTTTTGACACAGTGCATGTAGTAGTGTTCACTCATGAACTGTCCAGGAACACAAGCGTACAGAAGCAAGGGCACAGTCTTCGTAACAAACATAAACAAACATACAGTACACAGATTGAACATCCTTGAAGAACATTTGCAATGTTCCACGAGCTAGCTAGCTTTAGGTTGAATCCCGAATCCCTCCTTCAACTGCTACCCTCAACCCTCACGACCAGCACCACGTCACGTCGAAACTGCGATCCAGGAGGATGTGGACGTGGTGAGCTTCGATCCGATCAAGGCCTGCAACGACGTGATGAAAGCTTGGGCAGCTGGCACCTCCTTGCTCCCTGCCATGAGGCCGAAAGAGCTCCAGGTTTGAGCCGCTGAAGAGCCCCTGGATGTGGGATGATGTTGGGGTACAACAAAGAAGTTGAGGAGCAACATGCAGAGACCTAACTGGTAGTAGTCCTGGTAGTAGAGAAATCTGCTTTGGTGACCTAAGCATCTCGCTTTGACAGAAGGACTGATCGACTTTTCGATCACTTAATTTTCAGCGGCGTGTTTTTTCCACAGAACGTGTCCAGGCCAGCCGTGTACATCCCCTTGGAGTCCTTCCCCAAGAACGCGGCGGGCAAGATCGACCGTGCCGCCCTGCCGGATGCCTGCGACGCGCTGAGCGCCACACTGACCACAGCGGAGGCGGAGTATGAGCCACCCAGCACGGAGGACGAGAAGAAGATGGCACCTCGGAGAACGAGCAGCAGGGTGGCCAAGTGGCGGGCATCAAGGATCATCCATTTTATTCAGCCGATCCGATTTGCAATTTCTCAGGTTATATAAGTTTTGGAACAAATCTCCAAAGTCAATATGAAGTCTTGCGACATCATCAGACACTAGGAAAACATATATTTCAAATATCGGATGTGGGACTTGTAATTCGTTTTTGGGGCAAAGAAGTTCCCACACATCGGCGTCCGGCGTCCGGCGGTGCAAAATGACAAAGTTTCATAAAGTTTGCTTTGTTGAGCAAAGCCTGAGGTAGAGATTTGGGAGAAGGTCCTGAAAGTGCAGGCTGGCCCTTGGAAAGGAATATCATTTTATATTCATCATTGGTCAAAAGTCTTGTCGGACATGTCACTTTGAAGCTCAATTGCCGTGTCCGCGGAAGATCTGAGCCCGACACCCAGCCATTTTTGGTACTCACGGATCCATTCTCTTCCTTGCGAGCCGTGGATCGCAGTGCAGAAATGACTTGAGCCATTTGGATGATGACTTGGCAGGTGGGAGTGCAAACCCCTTTCGTGGCCTATGGTGGTCACTCCTTGACCGCAGTGCAGCTTTGCTCCTCGGTCTTTGCCGCTTTCCACCGCAGGCCGGAAGGGAGGTGGAAGGGGCGTGAAGGGGCTCGCACCCAGCTGAAGGCTTCTCCATGGTCTTTGCAAGGTTGGACCGTAGATATGGACCAAGAAGTCACAAGAACTCCTTGCTGAGAATCCAAGAGATTCATAAAACAATTCCATTCAATAGTCCAACAGTCCTGCGTTCGAAGAGTTGGCGTTTGCTTTGCAGACAGGGAAGTGAAACAGGACCAGGGATTTTCTTGATTGAACACGGCCAGTGGGAGGACCCCCTTTAAGATCCATATAAAGCAAGATATTGATTCTGACTCCTTCATTCTTTCGATTTGATTCTCGACACCCACATGACACCCACACCAGGCTCGGACACTCACCAGTCGTCCTTCCCGTCCTTGCCTCGCGCCGTCCGCGGAGGCCAGACTTGGTCTTCCTCATGTCGGAGGACTGCACCGTCCGTGCACTTTTGGCCAAGCTGGAGGCAGAGTCGACCACGGCGGCACACGACGGCTGCGTGGTGCGCCTCAGTGGCCCCGAGCAACGAGGGCTGCCAATGCTCATCTTCACCGCAGCAGGGACTTCAGCTGCCACATACTCCCAGGCCGGCCGTGCGCGGGTAGATGCGGATGGCAAGAGATTGTGTAGTTTAGTGGTGCGCGTGCAAGGATGCCTGAATCAAGTCTTAGTGATATCCCTTGGGATGATTGAAGAGGTTGAAATAGGATGAATATGGATGAATCTCATAGGAAGAGATGTTGTTGAAACATCCAAAGCTGCCAGCCGGATCTTTGACATTCGTCAGACTCTTGGCGCGGAATTCGCCCCCACTCGTCCGGGTTCAACGCGCCATACGCGCTGGTGGCCGGCCTAGGTGGCCGAGCGTGCGAGCCGTTTGCAACTCTATGCCGTGGAGCTGCCGGGCCGGGGCCAACGGGCAGAGGAGGCGGACCGGTCCATTTGGACGGAATCACCCCCGTCCGGTGGCGCGTCGCGGTATAGTTGGATCTGTTCAAATTGGAGACGCCAGTGGTAGTGGTCATGTAGTTGGCCATGATGTTTTCATGGCCATATTTGATCCACACGTCATGCGTCAATGTACGCCTCATGCCATGCATGATCATACTGCATCCTGTACCACGAGCCCGAGCATTGCGTTCAACTAAGCATTGCGATCATCCGCGGCAAAAGTGCAGCCTGCAAGAATTGAGAGCATTAGCGTACCAGTCCAGACAACTCACATGAAATTGGAGTCCTTGCCTTTACAAACGTTGCCTCCCACAAGTGGCTCATGTCATAGGTTCCGCCAACCGACTGAAAGGAGGAGTATTTGACCGTTCTTGACCGTAAGTCAGGATTCCGGTTCGGGCGGCAGTAATCCTGGTGGGTAGTTTGGTGTCAAGTTGCTAAGGGAGGTCCACAGGTTCTGAGTCACAGTGGGTAGTCTTTAAACCTCATATGATTACATTCAAAGGTCCAGCTCACTTTTGAAAGGCCCACTCACATACACCATGCTATCATCAAATAGTGAATCATCCGTCCAATTGTCCAGTGTGTCATTGGATCATCTAAGATGAAACATGTTGTGAAATCATGCAGCTTAGACTTAGACATCCTATTCAGCCATATACTCTCCCTGAAACAGTCATGGAAGTGGAGTTCACGCCCTATAAGAGTAGAGAAGACTGCAGTCTTCCAAGCAGACATGTTCCACGTAACCATGGGTTGTTTCAGCCACAAAGTCTCGCCGTCTACACCTCACTGAGTCCGAAATCCAGGCGCCCATTCCGCACTTTGAAAAGCTCTTCGAGAATCTCAAGGCCGACGTCATGCGCTGGGCCAGGCGTGCACAGCGGAGCTATGCGGAGCTGCCCCCACCGACACCGTGCGACCACCGTGTAATGCGAATCATAGCAAACCGTGGCAAAGACTCATCACAGGCAAAAGCTGCATAAATGGGCGAGATGCAGCGAGTATGCCACTAATGTGCTAATGATGAGAATGTGTAAGCACACATCGTTGCAACTCATTTTGTAAAGTTTGGTTGATGGATTTGGCGTTGGCGTTTAGACCAACACAACGGATGCACCTCCATACGCGATTCCATGCAATTCCATGATTTGCCTTTGCCGGCGCCAAAAAGCGGTCCTGTCATGCGATGGCTTCAGAATGCGGCACACATCCGCACACAACCACTCCAGCTCCGCACCAAAACCTGTATCCGACCACACCGACACCGCAGGAAGCAGAAGCGCTTCTTCGCCTGGGGCGACTCCTTGGGCGCCATCTTGGCATATGAGTTCGCACGGCTTTGGCAGCGGGATCCCGAGGCCGGGAAAGCGAAAGGAACCGTTGAAAGGAACCAACCGTCTTTGGATGAAAAGGGACGAAGGGGTGACGAAGGGTCGGGTGAGAGAGTGACACAGAGCAACTTGCCCTTCGTCAAGGATGGTGGGATCGGGTGTGACCGGGACCAAAGACAACTTGCGATTCACCACATCTCGAGCAAACAAAATCCTTCCAACCTTCCAGACATTGACCGGGCTAGACCAACAATGACAAACAGCTAGGCTTAGAATTAGAACACCCTAACATCATCTTGGAAGGGCCCAAGGAACCAGCATGGGTGTCTCTTGGCCATGGGTATTCTGTTCTGGGTTGGGTATATATAGAGACCGGAGCCAGCCAGAAGATGTTCAGCTTTGAGCCGTTGAGACTAGTAATCCACTGACTTGAGGTGTTTAGAGGTGCTGCAAGTGCCATAAATGTGGTGCTTGATCCAGACGAGTCAAAAAAGAAGAGGCGAAGAGTCGAAGAGTTCTTTCAAAAGCGACGCCCCTTAGGGAAACACCTGATCATCCACTGCACAGTCGTGACGACAGCGAGCGCAAACGGGCGCAAAACACGGACACATGTATCGTTGTTGCCCTGGTGAGGCTCGTGATTTTTTGGTCTGAGTCTAAGCGGATGCATGCCGGCAAGAGGTAGACAATCCTCCACCCTCTTCCCAACTTTGATCTCAAAGGAGAAGCAACACAAAACACGTTTCGGACAAACCGGCTGTGTGCTAGGTTGGCAGAACGCCTTATATGACATGAGCACCCACTTTTGTTTAGGCTTTACTAAAGTAGTCTACGGCATGCTCTATTTGCTTGTCTATCATCAGCATTCGCTTGTGAACGAGATAGGGCACCCACATAAACGAGATACTTGTGCTTGATGACACAAACATCGTTTGAACGAGATAGTGTGATCTGCTACTAAAGTAGTCTGAACGAGATACTGTGACCTGACCTCCTACTTAAACGAGATAGGGCCCCCACATAATCGATAGATAGTGTATTTGAGTTTAGTACCAAATAAATGCCGCCGCACACATGTATAAGTATAATGTATTATAATGTATTTTGCCGTGATCCACAATTGGATTGTTTATTTACTTCATTCATTGATTCAAAACTCCTTGTTCTATGGCATTGCCTCCGGGCCCCTCCTTTCTGACACACGCCCCAGGCCAAGCTGCTGGGGCTCTTTTGCAGCGGCAACGCAGGGCCTCCAGAAGCCTCCTGTGAGCGAGGGATGGGCGAAGCGGTGATGGACCATCTGAACCTGCAGGCGGTCCGGGCGGCACCGCACTGGTGCCTGGGACGGGACTGGGTGGCCTGCCCTATCCTTCAAGTAGTTATTCGATGTTGTTCGTTCAAGTAGCGATGGGGTTGTGGACCGTTCTGGAATGAAAAGACCCATGTTTCAAGCAGTCACTGGTGAATTGCCAATAGATCACCACACTGCACAATCTCGTCCTCTCGTCCAGTTGGGGAGACTCAGTCGCAGCGAGGACTGGACCATTCCAGTTTCGACCCTCCGAGGACCCCGGATGATATCGGATGATCGTAGGCGGAGTGCTGCGCAGATATGAGCACGGAGGATTGGAAGAAGTTCCTTGTGGCGTCGGCAGGCAGCTCAGGCGCGGCAGGGGCACGGGGCACTTTGGGTGGAACAGTGCATGGATGGGGAGTGAATGGTCGCACTTTCCGGCCAGTGGATGGTCGCACTTGCAATGTTTTAAGCTGGTGGAAACTTCTACCCATTTAGAGAGCTGAAACTAGGCTGCCAGTGGTCCTGAACAAGTGCAACTGCAGTTCCATGGGTTGTCCTGACAAAGAAAACACTTGGAACAACACCGGCAGCGGCATTGGCAGCTAACAACACTGGCCTTGGCAGCTCCTGGGTTTGATTTTAATTCAGCTCACGGGCTGCGGCCATGTTCGAAGTTCTTCTGGTCATAGCCGCAGCCCGCCATGGCCTTTGTACCGGGTGATGGCGTGACCCAAACGTCAACATTGGAGCCTGCCAACTGTCCGAGACTTGAACCTTAGATTCTTGGAGTTGCCTATTCTTGCTGAGCAAGACATGTGGGCCTATTCTTCTGAACATGGGTGGCTGAAGATGGCACCGCCGCGCAAGGTTCCAGGTATTCTACAAGACCAAACAGCTAGGGGAGGTACCCAGTAGAAATGAAATGAAATGAATACTGCACCAGCGTTCAATTTACAGGTTTGCAAAGGAAAGAATGACTTTTGGATATGAGTCACATATGCCCAGCACTGGCTAGGACTGCAAAGGCGACCGTTGCCCCCAATGCATGGCGCATCATGGCGCCACGTTCCCCATCGATGTACATCGATGTAATTAATCCTCATGACACTAAGTCACTAAACGCGCGGTCTCGATCTTCGGCACATGTTGTGTATTTTTTGGTGCACATGGGGAATAAACGGTTGATTCAAAGTACAACAGACTTCCGCAAAGCGTTTCCATTGGCCCATGGTGTTGTAACATCAAACGGCCGACAGACAATTCCGTCTTCCGACCTGAGGCCCAGAACTCCAGGAACTGCTCGCTCGACCCGAACTGGTGGATAGCCGCATGACCCGTGGTCGCCCGTGGTGGAGAGCGGTTTCATTGGATCCACCCACGATCGGGTGGGGGGGCTGAAGCAACCATGGCTAGACCAAAAGCAGGAGGAAGGAGTATGCGTGTTCAACCGGAAGTAGATTTTGGGACGTTTTTTTGAGGCAGCAATGGCACCGCCCTCCAAGAACCATGCCTTCATTGTTTTGGCCCAAATCCTATTTTTTGCGTTCTTTGCCAATCGACCGTGCTCATTTGCTCATCCCCACAAACCTGTTGGAATGTGGCACATTGACACGTTGAGGTTTTCGGCTCTTATTTGCCAGAAGAGCGGAGCCATTTTCAGGCTTCCAACTGAGTACTGCACATGCTCAGCAGATGTCAAAATGCAGTTTGCCACAAGCGCCTTGATGGGAGGTATGTTGATCCCTGCGGCATTACCCATGAAGAGATGGACTTGGTTGTCGTCACCCTGCACCTCTCTACCGCCGTCCTGTGTTTTTTCTCCTTTCCCTCTCCCGGTGGGGGCTCCTAGGCATCATCGGCCCCTTGCGCGCCGATTGCATGGCCTATGAATCCTATCGCTTGGACCGCGTGGACCTCATCCACTCGCCGATCATCACCCTACGAGGCTGGTGAGTGGAGCTTTTTGTCCAGAGGAGTGTTTTGTTCAACCATGCTCCAACCTGTTTTTTACAGCAACGCAGTTGTTCATGCAGTGCCTGTCAGTCCTCGGTTTGGCCTCCGCCTGCAACTCCTCCCAGGTGGACATGACGTGGTGACCTCCAAGGAGACCATCCGCTCCTGGCAGCAGGTCAGCGGCAGCCGCTACGAGCACAAAGACTTCGGCCACTTCGGGCACCTCCTGGCGAGGCGAGTTCGCCGCCACACACCGGGGCGGGCCATGGCCGGAGCCCGGTGTGGAACTGGCGGTCAAGAACCAAGGAATCAACACACGAAACATCATTAGATTCTTTCGAATGTTTAAAAGTAAGCTTCGCTATGTCATGGCATGCGTTTGGTTTCGATATGTTTCGATCTTCAGCACTAGTCTATGATGCAATGCTCCGTCAGGGAGTGCCCCAACTTGCTGGCGGAACTCTTCGAAGAGTATTCTCTCCCAGACTTCACCCATGAGCTCAGGTGGGGCCGGTGCCGTTGTTGTGTGCTGCTTTGTGGCATACGACCATGCTCACCAACAGTTAGCGGGATCCACATATGTCATAGTCACACATGTCATACTGGTAGTATTAGATAACTCAAATATTGTACACCAGCAAGTGCTCTCCCAACTTGTGTCAGGGCATGAGACTGTTGCCTTTTACTGTGAGGATCCTTCACATGCTTCAATGACGCCCCAGAACAGCATTGAACTTACTAGACTAGGCACCTTGGAACCACTTTCAGGGGCTGAGAGAATCGGCGCCAAGTAGGCCAGCCAGGCCAGGCCAGTGGCCTTTCCAGCAGCGTTCGGGCCCGTTTGGGCCCCGTGCCCAGGCACTTCGAGACCTTCCGGGCCGCCTACCGCCTCATGCGCAGTGGATCGACCACAAAGCGGGCGCCCAGTGCTCGACGGATCCGCGGGGCATCGCAGAAGGAGATCCGGAAGAGCCACTTGGGGCAGAGGTTCCGGTGTGAGTCCGCGAGGAAAATCTCCTTGCTGCCCGGACATTGATGTTGTTCTTATCATGTAAATTTGTATACATTCAGGGACGGCCAGTTCCCGAGCGAATATGGAAGTTCAAATAAGTCATGAGAGCACCCGGTTCCGTCTCATCGAACATTTGGAGGTGGTTCGTTTTCAGCGTCAGGTCAGGTCCACTGTTTGAACGTCGGGCACATTGCAAAGGCTTGCTTGCATGCCTGTTGGAAAATCCCAAGTCATTGGATGTCATTTGCTGGCTCCTTCACTTGCTTGCCTGCATGCCTGACGTTGGCAAATCCTAAGTCATTGGTTGCATCCGAGTTGAATCCATCATTTGCTTCTTAAGATCTTTGCATGCCTGTTACTGCCTGTTGGCAAAGTTATTTTCTTTGAACCTGGCAGCAAGTCCCAAGTCATGTGCCTTAATCTATGCCCAAGCTATGCTCCACGACTCCCATCTCACTAGAACCCAATAAATGCAAAAATTATATATACAATGAGTGCATGTGTATATTAATATATAACTTAGTAATAGGACATAGGAGCATATAGTAAATTAAGTAATAAACTAATTTACTATAATATGTATGGATGTACGTACACAGAGCGACAAAGAGTGCGTAACATATACCTACCTACAACCCAGGTGGCCTTTGCTTACTTACATAGGAAAAGACACTGGTTTGGGTGGTTGGTGGTACACCACGCATGATGAAGGGTCCACCAATTGAACATAGGAAGTTTCACCTCCGTTTGCTTCAAAGGTGTCCTGCACATTCCTTGAACTTGCCAGCCTACTATAGATCCAACCACTGTAACACTTGTGTGGGATTGTGTGGCTTCCTTTGTCGCGCAATTAACTCCAAGCCCTTCTTTGTTCATGTTAGAGTTTGCAGTGCCAACAACCAGACCCAAGAGTCACCATTGGGTCGGAGCTTCTCCCATCGATTTGGTGCAGCTCTAAGGCATGCGCGTTTGCAGCCCCACTCTCGGGGCGGCTCATGTGCCCAAGGCAGGGGTAAACGAACTCGAGCCAAAGCAGCCAAGAGATGAACATGTTGCGCTCACAATGTGGTTTTCCTTCCCCACTTGGACAACGGCACGCTTCGACTTGCCATTTACATAGTGTTTTTTTGGGCCTGATGGATGTTGGCCATGACACACGTGGCTGGTGAGTGCACGGCGGTTTGTCCTTCCAGCACTTGATCTGACGCCTGGCACGACGAAGGACTTCGACTTGGGCTGCATGGAGGTGGACCTGGTGGGTTTGGATGCCATCATGCCACCCACCAAGGACCAGCGGGCCCGATTTTTGCGTTACTGTACTTGGGAAATGGGTGGGTGCAGGTGTGCTTGGATCATTTTGGATCATGGGACTTGGCGCCAGTCGCTTAATTGTGTCTATGGCAAAGCGACATAGGCAGCGGGGAGAATTCAGATTGCATTGAGTTATTATGAGTTATTTGTAGAACTGATTTCTCCAACCTGGCACCCGCTCTAAATCGGTGGCGCCCGTGGTCCTGCTGAGGGTGAATGTGCTGGTCCACCGCTGAGTTCTCGACTTCACACGTCGACTTGCGGTGCTCAGGAGGTGAAGCTGATGCGCGTGGGCAACCTGACCTGGCGGAAAGGCGCATCTACAGGCGGACGAGATGAGGGGGGAAGGTGTTTTTGGGAGGCACATCCGGACGCAGTAGACGGATGTAGACGGTGCTAGGCCATGAGCAAGCGATTTTGAAATGCTTCAGGTTCAACTGGCTGCATGTGGGGAGTTGGACATGTGAGCAGGATAATGTTGGATCCTGATTAGTAAATAGGGGTCCCCCCTACCTCTAACAAACAGGGGATCCTCTATAATAAACTATCACCAAAACAAATCTGGATTCCTGTGAGAATTCCTTTTTGTAATTGATTGTAGTATTAATGTTCCTTTCATAGATTGTATTCAGCTTCCTTTCTCAGGTGCTAATGAATCATAATCATTGGCCTCAGGAGCTAAGTAGAGTAAGATTCCATGAGCAGTTTTTTTCCAGTGGAAAAAACTTTTCACAATTGAGAACCCAAAAACATATCTATTATTGAGGATCAGGTGCCTTCCTGGTCTACTACCTTGAACATTTGTTTAGGAGCAATGTTTTATACAGGGTTTAATTAGGAATTGATGGTTTTGGTCAGCTGTCAGTTTTGAAGAAACCTAGAGAAAGCTATATCAGCTAATGAATCATAATCATTGGCCTCAGGAGCCAAGCAAAGGAAGATTCCATGAGCAGTTTTTTTCCAGTGGAAGAAACTTTTCACAATTGAGAACCCAAAAATAAATCTATTATTGAGGATCAGGTGCCTTCCTGGTCTACTGCCTTGAAAATTTGTTTAGGAGCAATGTTTTATAAATGGTTCTATTAGGAATTGGTGGTTTTGGTCAGCAGGCACAAGGAAGCAGCTCAGGCCAAGAAGCAGGCCTTCCTCAGCCAAGGGCTAGGGTTGTAATTAGTTAGTTAACATCTTGTTGGTGGTCTGTTTGTTTGTGTTTTGCTTTGCTGCTGGCTGCTTGCCTGGGAGGGAGGGGGGAGTGCAGGTGGACAGGGTTCAGAAGGAATTCAATCCCTTATTAATTAGGTTCCCAATATAAACAATTTAGGGTCCCAAAAAAAAAGTACTGTAGCATTATTGAGGACCCATTTACTAATCAGCATCCAACATTATGCATGTTTTTCTTGATGCTTTGTGTTAAATTGATAACAGCACAAATGGATACAAATCGTCAAAACATCACTTCTAGCACCAGTCATCACCAGGCAGTCAGGGAGACGCGTGGTACCGAGGTTGCTGTTTTTGTCGTCCAGCTTGCATTCAGATGTGAGGATTCATTCTCCAGAATTTGTGAATGGGTTTTTGCTGCTTTTGATGTTGATTAATGATTAGTGGTTGTATCCTGGTGTACCTGCAGTCAGTTGCCTTGAAACATCCTTGAACATTGGGCTGCGACATGCCCCTCCGAGGCAATGCAACTCGCTTGCCCTGAGCATTTTCAATTGCTCCCAGTTAGGCGCCCGGCCATTGTATAGCGGGCGCTGCACATGGGGTGCAGAGTTTTGCAGTTTGATCGACTCGAACCGGTGTTGGCTCATCTCAAACTGAGGCCGAGGACACGCAGGTGTTAACAGCTCAGGATCACAACTTTCTTGCATTGATATCACATTGACACGCGAAGCAGTCTAGAATCCAAGATGACGAAGCTTTGGGATTCCTTGACCCAAGCTTCGAAGTTGACACCTGCAGGGGCTCATCGGCCTGAACAATCCCGAAAAAACCCTGGCGACAAGGGTATCCCATGGTATCCCCATACTTCTCAATCATTCTCCTCAAATGTACCTGAGTTTCACCGTTAAGTTCTGAAGCTGAATGAAGTTGACTCATCTAAGAAGGGGGATACTTGGCCATGTACAGACCCCGGCCAGCCCGTGAGAGAACAAACATCTCCCGGCTGAGTTGTTGAGGGATCCATGCCGTGCCATAGCCGCTGATCGCATTTGCGCGGCATCAATCTCAATCCTGAAAGCGCAAACCACCGCTTTGGGTGCCATGCCATGGAGAAGTCAGGGAAGGAGAGGCTTTGGTGGTGAAACGTCTCACAAATCATTTCTCAACACATCTATACCAGGACCAAGAAGGTGGGCAAATGCCATCCGGGATGCCCGGGCAAAAGAGATCTTTTTTTTTGGCCGAATCATGACGAACACCCAATGATCCGGGCAACTGTTCGCGGAACAAACCCGAGTGCCTGCGATTCGGAATGCTCCAAACAGCCCTGCACATGAGTTTCCCCTACCACGGCCCCAAAGTTCCTGGATGATATCAACGATACAGCAACACCCACGAATGGTTGATCGTTCAGACTCACAAAAGGAGTGGATCGCGATCACTGTTGAGACTCCCGTTCTGTGAGATTGTTTGAGCGTAGAGATTTTCTGTTAGAGTGCTCTTCACTGAAACAGCAATGTAATGTACATGGTGCCCTTCCAGGGTTGCACTTTCAATCATGTTTGTGCAGTATTTATTTATATTGATTATACTTACGCGACCCTTCTGAAGAATTGACCGTGACCTCAGTGGTTTACCCGTTGGCGAAACATGACCCGTTGAGCTTGTTGGATGTTCTACTTTGCAGACATGGATGTTCTTAACGCGCAGCACTCATTGGGATGTCAATTCTTAACCTCCAAAACACGAGCCGCTCGCGCACCACGAGCTCACCACGGAGGTCATCGGGCGAAAACGGGTGCAGGTGGAAGAGGTCCCAGATTGAAGCAGTATCAATTACATGATATTGCATGTCATGAGTGAGTTCCTTCCTGGCTGGCATGCCATAAATGTCTACAATTCCATACTCTTTGCTCTTGAACTTCTGAGGTGAGAGCAGTTGTGCGTGCCAGAGAGCTCCTGCTGACGAAGACACCCCAAAACGTGTTGGAAAGTAAGAAGGGTGAGTTATAAGATGTTCTATCAAGGCAACCACCCATTTTAGAACAGTTTGAAGAATGCCGGCTATGTGTGGGCCGCCGTGCATGGGCTGGGCTTGCTCCCTAGGCAATCGTGTTGCCATGCTGTTGTTTGTGACTGTTGGGTGTTGCCATGCATGTGAATGTCGCACGTACCAGCTGCAACATGCGGAGTCATAGAAGTTATAGAAAGTCCGCTCAATTGTGTGCGGAAAAGCCACCTCCTTGTTTGTTTCTTTCAGTACTCCTTGATGCTTTGTTTTTGTTATTCTTCTTGTGGTTCGTGGCAGCGGCAGTGATTGGTTCGTATCCCACCTGCCGGGTGAGAAACAACCATTGGGGTAAGGACTAGGGGTGATACGGACTAGGGGTGATGTAGTACAACGCATACCGTCGTTTACGGCGGCCGTACGGTCATAAAGGCATCCGTACAAGACAACTCGGAGGATATGGACTCCAAGTTGATCACGGCAGATCCTCTGACATTATTCCAAGACATGCTGCATAGTGCCGTAGCACTTCCTTCGCATGAATGCCGCATGACCACCAGACACAGCATCTCACAAGTGACTCACTATTGCGATGCTAAATCCACCACTGATGCAATCGACTGCTCAGCACCTGGGAAGGCAGGCGCGGTCTCCACGCATGGACCATGGCCACCACCGTAACGGTGCAATGCACTTGATCGTTGGCATGGGTCATTTCGCGTGGAGCTGGAGTGCGTGCCGAAATCCTTCTAATCCTTAGCTCAGACCTCCTAGACCACACGGCGAGAAAAAGAACAGGCGCAACATGGGAATGGCAGGCGGCTGGCAAGCGTGTTCGCAGGGATGTTTGTCAGCCTGTTACACTCCGGAAAAGCCACCTACCCATTTCCACGGTGCTGTTTCACTGGGGAAGACCAACCACGGTCCGGGAATTAGGTCAATTTGGACCAGTGTGTTGGAGCAAGGAATTCCCAAACGCCCCTGGCAGAAAATCCCAACGCCTTGCCAAAAGTCGGCACCATATGTAATAAACATGTGGCGTTGGGCCCCTTCTTGCTGACCACCCTTCTTGCTTGTTCCAGGGGTGTCACTGTTTGGTCTACAGTCATCCTTCATGGGATGCAAAGTATGGACACTCGTTTATATATATATATTTATTCACACCATTGGCAGAGTTTCTCGCCTTTTTTTCTGAGGCGGTGGCCAAAGCAGCGAAGATCAATCCACAGCTGTTCAGGCAGTACAGGCGCCTTTTTGCATGAATAACATCAAACGTCCGGCAGATGGTCTCAGTTCAGGTCCCGACTCGACTCAGAACCCTTCGTTGAGTCGTCTCCAGCCGTGAGAACCATTGAGAACCTCCATGGGAACCAACGGAACACCTCGGTGCTTGGAAACGCCGTGGTTTCCACGAGGCATGAGCTGCTGTGGATTTCGGACATGTTCAATGCCCACGACGAGGCTTCGTTCCCGCGGATGGCACGACCCGCTGAGGTTGGATCCCGGTGGCAAGGAGATCTTAGAGGTTTGTAGGGCTTGTGGTGTTGGCGTGCGTGCCATTTCCGGATCTAGTGAGGGAAAGGAGGCTCCATATATTGGCGCCCCACGCTTATTAGCCGTGTTTGCCAGGAAATTGCATGGTGACATGTATTATATATATATATATAAAATATTGCATCATTATATACTGTACTCGACTCGTAGTTGTTTGATTTGTTTGGCACCTGCAGAACAGAGCCAGCTTCCCAGACACGACTAGGCCACTAGGCTCTATAAACATTTTTGTGGACCCGCTCAAGACATGGCTCGCGCATTGAACTGAACATGCAGGGCATTGTTTTACAAACCAGTCTTACCATATTTTATGGTGAGGAAACGTGAGGAAGTTAAGCTTCTACTGGCTGGGTGCGATCCCGCCCCCAAAAAATCAGGAAGCACATCGGACATAAATAATTAGCATCAACAATAGGAAAACAATACCACAAAAGTAGGAACAACAAAAGGAACTGCAAGCTGAGTCCTAGCAATGGACAGGGAATCAGGGCTTTGGTGGGGGGCGTCAAGATTCAGAGGGTTCAGACCTGAGAGGTAAGTCTAGGCCGGTATCGACCCCGAAAGCGCACCCCGCCTGGGTTTGGGCCCGGGTCCCACAAAAAGCAGCCAATGTTCTGAAAATTGCACATGCTGCCGACACTTCGAACAACTGTTTATTAAAACATATATATAGGGAATATATAGGCCGCCCATCCCCTCCCCACACAACCCCAACGTCCACCCCTCCCTATTACACTATGATCCGTATTGCGCTATGCTTGCTTTTATTGTTCCTTTTGCTTGTGTTTTTTTTTGTGTGTGTGTGTCCTTTTGTTTGTCCTATGTTGTTCCTATTGTTTCCTGATGTTGCAATTTCCAACGCCAAGTGTTTTTCAGCTAAGTACAGTTTTTGCCTCCCGCACATTCGTCACACATACCAAAATATCTATTGTGGCTTTCGGAGTGTTATGATCGACTTGTTTTCAGTTCTGTTAAGCAATTCATGATTCTTGGGGCTTCTCTCGACCGCATAGGAGCATGCTGGCTTTCTGGGGCAGTTTGAAGTCCGCCGCCTCATGAAGTACATGGGCCGCTGGTCCTCATGTGACGGGACGTTGGGCGGCTCATACATAAAGAACAGTTGCAACAGCTAATGGGTTGGAGGCCATCGCTATTAGGCCCCTTTTGACCTGACCAACAGCGGTGACCGGCGACCCGTGGTGTTTTTCCAGCACTCCTTCCACCCGTGCGGTGCGGAGTGTGGCGAGGACGACGCGTGCGGGTGTTTCGTTCGACCGGAATCCCGAAGGATCGGATCCAAAGACCACGCGAAGCACCATCTCCCTCTCCCAATGGGATTTGTTTCATCGATAGGACGGTGGTGACGTAGTTCCTGTGCGCATGTCATAGGGTTTTTGCTGGGCACCTTTTGGGGATCGGTGGTTGCGCTCTGGTGAGTGGGAGTCTTGGGCGTCAGGCAACCCACAAGGTGCAAACACCAGAGAGCGTGGACCCTATGGGTCCTAGTGGGCTCCACTTCCAACATATTTGTCCACATGTTTCTTTAGTGACCTGCAAAACCGTCAAAGACTGGGAATGGCAGAAACGAACAAGAACAAACAACAACACCAAACAAGGATCAAAACAAATTCAGAACAAGAAAACAACACATGTTTATCAGGGTCTAGGGGCTGTTCTGGTCTTTGATAGCACACATCTTGTTTGTTTTCAGGGGTTCATGTTTTGAGCTGTGAGTTCTCCTTGCTTTAGCAAAAATGTATTACAATCAGGAGTTGGGATTGTGCATTGAATTTGGTCCTGTAAGAGTTGATTCTGTTCGTCGGGGGGGGGTGGGGGCCCCCCCGGGATCAAATCTCCCCTGCGCCGGTTCACGCCGTCATGGACTTTTACCAGGGTTGCTTGTGATTGCCTGCTACCTTTCGTTCACCCCCTCCTCTCTCAAGTCTCAGAATCGCCTCATCGCCAGCTCAATCAACTTAAACAAGCACGCAACACGCACATACAGAGGATGGGATGGGTGTTAAGCAATAAAGGATTGGCATGTTGTGGCAGGTCATGACCTCCTAAATCCATGGCCTACATAGGCCTTGCAGTTGTCCACCGGAGATTACCGATCACAAAGGCCTGGAGCC